CAACCATCATCCCTTATGACGGGGACTCCGCCACTGAGCCGAACCGACATCCGTTCTGAGCTTAACCCAACACTGGGCTGGACTCTATCGCCTCGGTCTGAGCTGGGCCCATACTCTGGGTGGACCACCTCCCCTTGTCTGAACTGGGCCACGCACACCTCTGCTCTTCCCCAGGCCCCCAAGGCCAGGGTTGTTAGTAAGGGAGGAGGCGTTTCCAGGGCGCACCGAGGGTCCACAGACTCTTCCTCTCCACCTTGTTCCCTCAACCCCACTGCAGCCCTTTCCTGACTTGAGGGGCAGACAGTGCCTGGGAAGTTGCTATAGCAACAGGGCTCATCCTCACCATCGCTGGGGTTGGAAGCCATCACTCAGTCTTCCTCTGAGGGCACCGAGGCTACGGTGGCTGGGAAGGCTCACGAGACCTGCTGTACCAGCTTGGCTGCCCATCCCTAATGCCCCATCCATAGGGGGAGGCAGGGAGTTGGGGGCTGGTGGCAGGAAGAGAAACCTAACTTAGGGACCAGTGGGTGCAGGGGAGGGACAGACAGGACCCTCAAGCTTCTGTCGGCCTGACCGGGCTGAGGGAAAAGCTGCCTCGGCAGGACCCTCTTGGGCACCCATACAACTGCCAGTGCACAGGTGTTTGCTCCTCTCAGACAGACTTCTTCCCAGTTCTCGGGGGGGGGGGGGGGGGGGGAAGAGGGGCAATTCTCAGAGAGCCTGGGTTTGTTTGTCCCTGGGACCTAGAGGGGTGTCTGGGGGCTCCCTCTCACCAGTGCTGCCCCTTCTCCTGTGGGCCAGCTCCCAGGGGTGCCAATGGCCAGTGCCAGCCAAGGCCTGAGCTCCAGTTGGCCGCCAGGCCCCCAGGCCTCTTGGGGCCACTGCCTCCTCCAGCTTGCTCCGAGTCCAGGGCTTGGTCTTTTTATATGCTCTCGTAGCATCTTCCTCGGGCCCCTGCCCATGGCTCTGGCATCTCTGTGTCCAGGCTTCTGCCACCTCACCAGGGCTTGTTCTAGATCCCCAGCCTCCCGGGAGGAAGTTGGCACTGTCCTGTCCTGCCCTGCCACGGAGAGAGCAGCGCGGGGGCTGCAGGACGCCTAAGAGGTGCCTACTGTGGCTGGGGCACTCTCCTGATGCAGGTCAGGCGGGCAGCTGACAGATGAAATTCAGGTGCCCCCTGCAGGCTGGCCCGGCTACTGCCCCCGCCCCTATGGGCACCCCACCATAGTCACAAGAGGGCAAATCTTGTCTAATTCCATCTGGTTGGAATCAGAGCCTCAAAGCGAAAAGGGGCTTCGTCTTTCATCTTATAGTTCCTTCTCTGAGAGCCCCTGCAAGTCTCTGGAAGGAAGCACAGCTTGGGGCTGTGCTTTCCCGAAGTGTGACCAGGGTCCCTGTGGCAGGGCCTGAAATGATTCTGGAAAATGTTTTTGCTTTTCCGGCTACATTATATTTTATTTAATGTGTATCACAGAGACTGTAATGGGCGCAGCAGTCTCCTGATTTCATTTATAGGACTGCCTAGGAGAGATCAGAGTTTGTGTCTGAACGGAAGTGGCTCAAAACCTTATTATTTTAAATTAAGAAAATACAAGTGAAGAGAGTAAGAATCAGGGAGGCGGCCTGGGAATGTCTGGGCTGGGCAATGCTGGGGTCCAGGAAATTGGCTGGTTAAGTGGATCTGGATGTGAATCCTGCCTCTTTGACATTATCTGTGTCAAACTCGGCGTGTTTGGAAAATTCAGATAAAACTGTTATAAAAATCACTCAAGCAGATAGATCTAGGGAGACCATTTAGCCTGGCGCATCCTAGATGCCCAGCAAATAGTGGCTCTGTTTCATTGTGACAGGCCACTCCTGGGTGTCTAGCCTGCGCTCTGAGAGAATTAGTGGTTCCTTCCAGAGCCTCTGATCTTTTTCTCCGGGGGGATCCTTTTCCCTGTGTGGCTTCCCACCTCACGCTGCACGTGTTTGCTATGCCTTGAAAGTTCTCCACGACTATGTCATCTCCCCAACTTTCAGCTGAGTTCCTGTACATATAGCTGCTGGCATCTACCTTCCACCTCCCAGCCAGCCTCACCTGCTGGGGGCCCAGCCCCTCCCCCTCTGCCTAGTCCCCTCCAAGCTTATGCCCAGACCTTTTTTGGTCACTACCCACCTGCTCTTCTGTCATCAAGCACTCAGCTACAGGCACTTGCCTCCCTGTCCCCCGCCCATCGGTGACATGTCAGGCCTTCCCATGGCTGCTTGGCGATTCTGAGTTCTGCCATTTGAATCCGCGTGGGAATAAAGTTCCCTGGGTTTCATGGCTGGATCTTTCTGGGAGGGGGTATCCAGAGGACTAAGATGCTGGGGGTTGAGATCAGGGTGTTTTGGACACGGTCTCCCTTTTCAGCTCTATTTCTGAAGGGGATCCTAGCTAAGCTCCAGCTATGGAGGATGACATTTTAAGAGCTGGAGGAACTGAGGAAGGGGCCTGAGGCCATTTCTGAAGGCATTTCCAGAATACACACTGAATACACACAGAATCTCTCTGGACCAAAAAGGCCAACATAATTTGGGGGCCGAGGGGGAAACAGGCTTCTCTCTGGCTGAGCCCTGGGAATGATCAGAATCTATCTGTCCCTCGGCAAGGCAAGTCATTAGATGTCACTCACTATTCTCCCCAACTGTCAAGCCTTAAGTCCCCTTTCTCACCATCCTAGCTCAAGCTGAATGCGCCCTGGGAAACCCAGGGACTTCATACGCCACTTTTCATCCTGAGCCGGGAGTGCGTAAAAGAAGCCCTGGGAACTGGGTGAATGACAGAGCCTCAGTTGTGAAACAACCATTTATTTAGGGGCACTCCAAGAAGTCTAGAGCTCACGGCATACCAGGAGAGAGGAAGGGGCTTTGCTGCCGCCCCCCTACCCACCACCCAGGAAAGAAGATGCATGAATCCCAGCAAGATAGGCCCAACTTGGCTTTAAAGCACTGAAGCAGTTCTCTTGGTTCATAAACAGTCTGCTACCCCAGCCAGGGCCAGACGTTCGCTTGGAGGAGGGAACACCAGCAGAGACGCAGAGTGACAGGATGAGAGAGGGGCAGAGGGACCCAGAAAGATCCTGTCCCCCCTGCCAAGTGACATACAAGGGAAAAACAATGCTGGAGGTGGCTCTGGGAAATGCTTAAGGGGGGCAGAGTGGGTTTGGAGGGGGGGGCTGTAATAAGGTGAAAAGGGGAAGGGCAGGAGAAAGATGGCGGGGGCTGGAGGGGGGAGGGGTGTGGTCAATAAGTGGCCAAGGTCCCTGCGTGGTGGAGGCAGACCCCACAGCACTCCCAAACACGCAGAAGCCTGAGTCGGGGTCTGGCAGTGGGTCCCATCAGTGAGAGAGGTGAGGGAGGAAATGGGGGGATTAAGGATCTAGGAAGAGGGGCCAGGAGAGGAGGGGGTGGGGTGGTGACAGGGCCCCATGTGGGGCCCCAGCGGTCATACGTGCCTTGGTTGGCAGTGACAGCTGGGTGGGGGGGGGCACAGTCTTTGCAGTGGGGGGTGACCTTTGGCAAGGGGGCCGCTTCGGGGGTCTTCTGCGGGCCCTGGGCCCGAGCCTTGGACAGGCAGGGGGAAGGGGTGCTGGGGGATGAGCAGAGAGAAATGGGGGGGGGGGCGTAGGGGGAGGGGCCAGGCGGTGATGAACAGGGCGGGGGCTGGAGGCGCGACGCCGGGATCGGGGTCATGGCCCAGGCACTCACCGCTCTCCTGCTCGCTGCCCTTCTTGGCGGCTGCGGCGTTGCCCATCGCGGCGACGGCGGCCGGGGCCGGTCCCGGAGCTGCGGCGCGGCGGGTGCTGGCGGCGGCCGGCGACCCCGGAGCGCGCTGGGCGGCGGCGGCGGCCCCTCGGGTTGGCTGCGCTGGCTGCGGCGCCGCGACCCCCGCCCAGCCCCTGCTTCCCGCGTCTCTCCGCGCCCGCCCGCCCGGGAACCTCAGCCCAAGTCCGCTGCTGCTGTCCGTGACGCCCCCGCAGCCCGCCGCTCATTGGCCTAGGCCGCCCTGAGTGACGGCGCCCCGCCGCCGCCCATTGGTCCTACACGACCCTCCCGAGCCTCCATAGGCCGTGAGGTCCGTGACGCGCGCCGCGGACGCCCGGCCACTCGCGAGCTTGCGAGGCCTCAGCTGGGCGGGCCAGCGCATCTGATTGGCCAAGGTTCCCGACAGGGCCCTTAGCCCGCCCAGCGAGGCCGCCAATTGGCGGAGGCGAGCCGTCCGGCAAGCCCCCCGCAGAACGTCCAGTGTCAATCCCGGGGTGAGAGGGCGGGGCGCAGATGCAGCCTACTGCCCGGGCCGGCCGGGCGGGGCGGCAGAGGCTGGCGGGCAGCCGCGCCGCGCTCCGAGGCCCAGGAGGCGGTCCAGGCAAGCGCCCGCCTGGCCTCGTACGCGCCGCAGTCCCCCGCCTCCGCTCAGTGCGGCAGCGGCCGCCGGCCAGCCGAGGTTGGCGCCAGGGCCTCCCCCCACCCTCCCCGGCGCAGCCGCTGTCCACCTGCCAGCGGGGGAGGGGCGCGGCGGGCGCCTCGGGTCAGAGGTCGCCGGGCCGCGGGCAGTCGTCATTCATAAGGCCTGGCGCAGTATAGCAGGGTCCAGGCCGAGGAGCCTTCTGGGTCTCCCCCAGCCCCCGCCAGATCTTCAGGAGGATGCTGGGCCCCGGGAGTAGGGAGTGTTTGGGAGGGGGCTCTGTGTCCATCCCTTTGCCGGCATCTACGCAGGGCTTGTACGCGCGTCAGTAGTAAGAGCTGGCGCTCGTTAAATAAATTACTTTGCACCACACTCCTATCACGGAGGTACTCTGAGCATCTCTCCCATTTTACAGATGAGGAGTCTGGGGCATAGCCAGCCCGAGGATTCCCTTTGTCCCAGAGCAGTAAGACTATTTTTTCTGGGTGCCCTTTTATTTTTGTTTTTAAAAGATTTTAAGTAATCTCTGCATCCAATGTGGGGCTCCAACTTACAACCCTGAGATCAAGAGTCCCATGCTCCACCCACTGAGCTGGCCAGGGGCCCCTGGGTGCCCTTTTAAAACAGAGCCTGAGGTCAGCTGCTCACTGCCACACTACTGACATTTGGGGCAGGGTCATGCTTTGTTGGGGAAGGGGGCTGTCTTGTGCACTGAAGGTTTAATGGCATCCCGTCTCTACCCACGGGATACGGATAAGACTCTCCACCCCCCTCTTCCACCCAAACCGGCTCCAGACATTGTTAAATTGCCCCCACTTGAGAAACACTGCAGTAGAAGACCCAAACGGAAGGTGCCAGGAGGGGAGGGGGCCTGGATGAGCCAGCTCTCGTCTCAAGAGAGGCTGGCTGCTCTCAGATCTATGAGCCAATTTGCTTCTCTGCCTGTAGGCTTCTACAACCTGCAGCCTGTCCAGCAGCTGTCTGCACCCAAGTTCCTAGGTCCACCAGTTTCTGGGAGGTAAGTGTCTGGGCACTGGGAATTGTGGGGAGATGGCTTACCGGCCAGGCCAGTCTACCCTGGGCTGTGGGGTTACAAAGTAAGGTTAAGTAAAATTTAAGAAGTGTTGCTGTGTGTCTCCTTGGAGCATGATGTTAACTTCTTCCGGTGGGTCAAGGTCAAAGTCTAAAAAAAAATCACTGGTTATGCTCTATCCAGAACAGCTGGGTTGCTTAACTTCTGACCAAGAAAAGTCCCTCCCCGAACCTCAGTCTGGAGTACAATGAGGTAACCAATGAAGACTAGGGTAGGAAGCTAAGCAAGGGGACAAGGGGCAGTCAACCCACTGTCTGGGGCAAGAGCCCCCTCAGCATGTCATGAGGAGAGATGGACAGATGCGCCTCGGCCCACCTAAGACACAAGCAGAAACAGTCTCAATGAAGTGCTTTTTATTTTTAGACCAACCAAACATGTTTAATATAAAAACCTTTTAATATACAAACTGCAATCACAACAGCATCCACGTAGCAGCGAGAGGACCGGGGGAAGCCTGGCAGGGGGAGAGGTTTTCAGGGTCCCTACGGCTTCCTGTGCCTGCCACCTGTCTGTGGCCGGGGAGAGCATGAGGTCTTTGCAGAGGGGGCCTGATGCCGGCACTGACAGGGGCCGTGCACAGTGGCCTCCCCCACCACGCCATCTTCCCGCTGTGGCAGCCACCAGGGAAAGCCAGATCCAGTTAGGAAAGGACAGGAAGGTGCTTGGGACTGAGAGTTGGACCGTCCCTCCTCAGCATCCCGCTGCACACACCTTTGGGAACAGAGGTCTTCCAGAGGCTGCTGGATTGAAAAGACCTAAAAACTGTCCAGGAAGAAGGACAGAAATGGTGTCTGAGCCCACCTTCCAACCAAGATTCCTTGCCTGCGACTCCAAAAAGCTGGGTGGGTCTGCTCAGATGTTCGGGAAGAGACAGGAATGACAGCCTTTGTCGCGACAGTGCTGGAGCCTTGCCAGGCATGGACCGAGAAAGTCTCCAGGCAGGCCAGGGAGGTCTGCGGGAGGAGCTCGGGGCCGGCGGTACTCACAGGGCCGTGCGGCACAAAGGCCTGCAGGTGGGATTTATAGTGTGTGTGGAAGGGAGAAAAGACACAAGTCACATAGAATTAAAACCTGCTGTACCTGCTGCTGACACGCCTGGGCGCCAGAGGTAAGAAGATCCTTCTGGGTCAGGGTCAGGGCCAGGGAAGACCTGAGGCCCGCTCCTTCCTCAGAGCCGTGTCTGACCGGCCTTGGTGTAGCCGATGGCCCCAAAGCCCTCCACATGGCCTCCATGGGACTGTCCGGGAGGCCCGGCCGCCCCCTCCAGATGCTCTAGGAGACTGGCCACTGCCCCAGCTGGGCCCGGATCCCTGCAGTTATATGCAGTCCATGGAATTCTCGGGCAGGAGGCCGGGGATGCAGCCAGGGAGACCCAGGCCCTTGATGGGAGCACAGCTGAGGGGGAGGCCACAGCCCAGGGCAGGGTCCTGGTTCTCTATGGCTTCTAGACTGTCCATGTTGTTGTCCCAGTTGATGTGGAAGCGGGTCACACGGGGGTTCGAGGCCAAGATGTTCCTCTGGAGCTGGGGCAGGAAGAGGAATGTCAGCCCTTGCGGCATGCCCTCTCAGCACTCCCACAGAGCCGGGGGCCCCCCCAGACCCAGGAAGAACAGACCTCACTTATTCCACCTCCAGCAACGACCACGTGTAGGGCTCCAGGGAGCGCCTGTGTGCCCTGACTTAGGCCTGCGACCTATCTAATCTTGATTCCGCGAGGCGTGCTCCTGAGAAACAAAAGACCTTTCTCTCTCCCGTTCTAGTCTGGAGCTGCCAGATCTGAGGATGGCGTGAAATCCTTCAGAAGTGACCTTGGCTCCCAAATCCAATGAGTCAACTCCCCCAGGTGCGAAGGAGCCAGCCTGTCTGAAGCAGGAAGTGCAGAGAGGAGCCCCACCTGAGAGAAGTCTGGCTTCAGGGGTGGGTTCTCCCGCAGCTCGGGATTGGGGTACTCGTTGTTGACATAGTAGCCCACGCGGATGAACTCCTGGCCGTGGTAGGTGCAGGTGATGAGGACCACGGTCACACCCACGGCGTCGGTCTCGGGGATGAGGGCTGGGTTGGGGGCGTCAGCCTAGAGGAAACACATCCTGGGCCTTAGTGCCAACCGCACGGCCACGCCACGACCAGGACAACAATGATTTTCAAGCAACACGTATTTGACTGAGCCAAGTACGGTCTCTGCCAACGGGAGTTTTTAATCGAGTGGGGAAGACAGAAATCAATCCCACAAATGCCTGTAAAATGCTCAGTGTGACAAGTGCCGCAAAGAAGGAAGTGGCGCTGAGGAGTGTGGTGAGCAGGGGGGAGGGGAGCGTCAGATGAGGCTGAACAGGTGGGCAGGCTGGTACCAGGCCACCCAGGGCCTTTGGGGCCAGGTAAGGGCTCAGGAAAGAGCAAGAACGTTTAGCAGGAGATAAGGGGTCTGTAAAGAAGGCTGGCAGGGGCGCCTGGGGGGCCTCAGTTGGTTAAGCAGCCCCCTTGAGCTCAGGTCATGATCTCAGGGTTCGTGAGTCGGAGCCCCGTGTCGGGCTCTGTGCTGACAGCTCAGAGCCTGGGGCCTGCTTCGGATTCTGTGTCTCCCTCTCTCTCCCCCTTCTCTGCTTGTGCTCTTAAAAATTAGAAATAAAAAGAAATTGAGTCAACTTTCAGGGCACCCCGGTGGCTCAGTCCGTTCGTCAGGCATCTGACTTGGGTTCAGGCCATGATCTCAAGGTTTGTGGGTTCGAGCCCCGTGTTGGGCTCTGTGCTGACAGCTCCAAGCCTGGAGCCTGCTTCGGATTCTGTGTCTCCCTCTCTCTGCCCCTCCCCCTGCTTGTGGTCTCTCTCAAATATAAACATTTAAAAAAGAAAAAGAAAAAAAAGAAGAAGACTGGCAACGTGGGACGCTGTGAGGAGGGCTGGCCGCTGTGGGGCAAGGCTACTGGGCAGGTTACAGTGGTCCTTCTGGAGCAGAGACTTAAGCCAGGAAGCAGAGGACAGACGTGGACAGATTTGGGGTGTGTGGTTATGAAGAGGACCAGCTGCGTGACCGGTGCAAAATGAAACCAATATAACAAAATGAAACATGGGGTCCCCTGTTCACAAATTAGTAAGTTCCAGCCAGCGACAGCGGAACCTTGCAGCAGGTGCAAGGCCCAGGGCGGGTGCACGGGTCGAACACTCAGGAAGCCAGCCCTGTGTGTGCAGCGGAGTAGATGGACTCCTTGGGGCCTGGGTACGGGTGGATGTAACGTCTCGTAACGGGACGAAGGGACGTTGCTTGGACTTGGGGGGAGGGTGTCAGAGTGGGAGGTAGGCAAGATCTGAGCAAAGCCTGTCAAACTTCAGCAGGCATGAGACTTGGCTTGTACCTGTGCTCCCGCAGCCCCTGTGACCCTGGGTTAGAGGCCATTTAGCAGCAACGGTGAATCTTCATTTGCGATTTCGCCTACTTGCTAATAGTTACTTGTAACCTCAAAATTGGGGTGCTTTTGCGGTCCTCTGAGGACGTGCACAGAGTGGGGGGAAATCTGAGTTGCCTGATGTACGGGTTCCCAGCTGAGGTCACAAAAGGTGACCCTCTCGGCCTTAGCTCAGTGCACACTGTAAATGAGCATCCTTCTTGTTGTCTTTTTAATGCCATGTTGCCCACATTTCGGTGCTTTTTTTGGTGATTTTGCTGTATAAAATGGCCACCAGAGGCGCCTGGGTGGCTCAGTTGTTGAGCGTCCGACTTCGGCTCAGATTGTGGTCTCACAGTTCGAACCCCACATCGGGCTTACTGCTATCAGTGTGAAGCCTGCTTTGGATCCTGTCCCCCTCTCTCTCTGCCCCTCCCCCACTCACATGTGCCTATGTCTCTTTTTCTCTCTCAAAAATAAACAATTGTTAAAAAAAAAAAAAAAGGCCACCGGGGCGACTCCGTTGGTTAAGTGTCTGACTTTGGCTCAGGTCATGATCTCATGGTTTGTGAGTTCGTGCCCTGCGTGGGCTCTGTGGTGACAGCTCAGAGCCTGGAGCCTGCTTCAGATTCTGTGTCTCTCTCTGTCTCTGCTCCCTCATGCTCTCTGTCTCAAAAATTAAAAGGGGTGCCTGGGTGGCTCAGTCGGTCAAGCGTCTGACTTAGGCTCAGGTCACAATCTCAGTTTGTAGGTTTGAGCCCCGCGTTGGGCTCTGTGCGGACAGCTAGTTCAGAGCCTGGAGCCTGTTTCAGATTCTGTATGTCCCTCTCTCTCTGACCCTCCCCGGCACATGCTGTCTCTCTCTCTCTCTCTTAGAAATAAAACATTTTAAAAAAATTAAAAAAAAAAAAGCCACCAAGCATAGTGTGTAGTGATGTCTAGGGTCCCTAAGTGCAAGAGGATGATGATGTGCCTTATGGAGAAAACGTGTTAAAGAAGCTTTTCTCAGGCATGAGTTATAGTGCCGTTGGCCAGGTCAATGGGAATGAATCAACAATAATATTAAATAAGCGGTCTTTAAACATAAACACACATGAAACAAGATAATGTACAGGTCGACAAAAATAGGACTTGTATGAACCCAACCCTGTATTTCTTCCAGGGGCAATGAATGGCTCAGTCTTCATTAATTCAGCATTCGCAGTGACCTTCTAGAACCTAACTCCCGTGAATAAGGAGAATCGACTGTGAATCAGTGGCTTATGATGATGACGACGACAGAGGTGGACGAAAGGGAAATGTGTCAAGTACTTCAAGAGGTCAGATGGTTCTTGAAAGCAGGGCCAGAATTCTGAACCTGAACTTTTGACCACCGAACCACACCATGGGCTTTAGGGCAGAAGTGGATGCTTCTAGGGGTCAGAGCCTCTGGCCTTGTCTTTCTTACCTGAAAGATGAACATGTGTCTCCCTGCTGGGACAGGCCCGACCAGCACAGAGTCTAGGATTTGATCAAACTCCTCACTCTCAGCTGAGCCAACATAAATGATCTTCCACTCTAGGTCTGTAAGGACAGGAGGCGTTAGGGACTTGAAATAGCTTGGCAGCGCGAAGGCAGGGGAAGGGTCTTCTCAAGTTGAGTTTTGGTTAGATCCTTAATATATTGGAAGATTTTCTTCTCCAGAATACCTGGCGCCCGCTGGGCACTAAGTGCTGGGCACCGCCACCCTGCACACTGGGATGGGCTCGAGCTTCTAATTCTATGGACGAAGCTTCTCCTGTGAGCCTAGCTTTGCCAGGCGCCCTTGACCCCGCACCTCTGGGGGAACTCGGGGATCTCAGGGCCTGAGGGCGAACCGTACGGCAGAGGCTGAATTAGGCGCCGCGTGACAGAGGCGTGCTGAGGAGGGAACAGCAGGGAATTGGGCCATTTCAGGGCTCTGCCCACTGGGTGCTGGGAGAGGAAGCAGCATCCTCTTTCACACACAGGGACCAGTGCCACTGAACTGAATAGATCCCTCGACAACTGGGGCACGACAGCAGATTCCAATCCGGCAGGAGAGCCAGCCAGCAAGAGCGGGAAGACCAGGGCACTGGGGGGGGGGGGAATGAGCCAGTCCCCAGGTCTTCTAGATCTGGCACCAGCTCGTGCCGGGCTTAGACCCTCGGGTGACAGCGACTCAATTAACAGATGTGGCACCGTGGGGGGATCCTCCGAACCCCAACTCTCTTTCATCCCATCCAGTGGGGAGGTGGGGAGGGTGGGTCTCATCCCTGAGCAGGTTCCAGCAAGGTGAAAGGAATAGTGCTTAAGGAGAGCCCGGCCCATCAAGCGCCGGAAATCCCTGGTCACGGCTGCCTCTTGCAGGAGGTCCAAGTGTATCAGGGGCAAGGTCACGCTAGTGCAGGGAGGCTTGGCAGGAGACCTGAAACTTATTTTGGGTTCTTTGAAATTACACAACCCATAGCTCTGGCTGCCGGGGGCGGGGCAGTTTCACAGGAAGCAAACTGTTGTTGAAGTTGCCCTGTTTCTTGGTCCAGCGTCCCACAAGAGCACCCGACTTTGGAAACACAGCTATGCTGGGTCACAACTACGGACATCTGTCACCTGAGCCCCGAGCTCCTCTTTGATCCACTGGTTTCCTGTCCCTTTGCAGTTTTACCCAGGCCCTCCTGGGGGTGGGGTGGGGATTGTGGGACACAGTGGCCATCGGGCTCACCGGGGGCTTCGAACTCCAGTCTCTTATTATCTGCAGGGAGGAGTTAAGTTTACGGATTTATCTTTGTTGCAAGTAGAGACACCGCTAGGACATAACATGCTTTTGGATGAACGGAAATCTAGCTAGCTCTGCCCTTACCTTTCTAACAGCTCTACATTTTGGGATCTTTTCTCCTGGCCCCCCTACCCCCCATCACCAGTGGAGTCCTGTTGTGTGTGCATTTAACGTGCTGGCAAGGAGATAAAAAGGAAACTGAAATAGAGCAGGCCCCGCGTAGGCCATAGGCACCTGATATTCAATACTGTTGGCAAAACCTAAACAAAGACTGGCGTGGGTACTGACCGGAAGAGAAAACTGGCGGCCAGGCACACGGGCCACAATGGCGCACTCAATGCAGGTCGTTACAGAAATGAGAGAATTAATGGAGGGCCGTAGTGAAATAGTGACTCAAGGGTTAGAGGAGCTGATGAAGTCATCCACGGAAGACAGCAGATGATGGAAATAAGAACCTACAAATTGGATCACCTTAAACTGGCCGAACGCTTCATTCTGTAACGTAACGGTTCTTCAGAATGAGATGTGGGACATCCGTCACCAATATGGCCCAAAGTCATCCCTTTGGAATACAGGACACAACTGTACCCAGGAAACGTGGCGCACCTGACTTTTTAGGCAATTACAAGGGTGACCTGACGGTATTCAATTTTGTCTTTCTGCTCTAACTTTACACTCGAACAGCCGACAGCATGGCCCTCCACCAAGTATGGAAACAAAACTGAAGCTAACAACCTGATTGAAGCCGTGTAAAAAACGATCGTCGTTGAACTAGCTGGAGAATGGTTCCTGCCTTAAAACAAGACACAACACACACACGCAACACCCACCTACGTACACCTACGTAGTAGGCTTTTTTTTGTTTATCGCTGCCTTTTTTTCATAAGCATATAGATGAACCCTGGCCTGAGCACGGTGATAGCCGTGGGTCAGAACATCTGGTTCCATGACTTATTCAAACAGCGGCTGTTGAATTTCTCAGCGGAACAGAGGAAAAACACACCTAATGTATTAAATGGGGACCTATGCCTTGGAAGCATCTATTTCCAGTTGCTGAGAAGAGAAAAGAACCAAAGGGGCTCGGAGCTGGTGGGAAACATGGTCAGCCAATGACGGGGGGGTGAGTCTTTTGTCAGATTGTCAGTGTCAAGGTAAGAGGACCGAGGTTTCTCCAGAATCTGAGAGACTTCTGAAGCCAGGCCCTCTCCACCTGTATGGGAGGCAGGAAACAGATTCTCTCTGCTCCATGGGAAGAAGGCCAGGAAGAGGCAGAAAGCAAGCTTGGCAGGTCAGAGTCATGGACAGCCATAGGGATAGGACCAGAGTCTGGACTTTCAGGCCAGAGTTTGCTTTCAACTTGAATTTCTCTGAGCAAAAGCTTTACTGACTGGGTGTAATTAATAGTAGCACTCCCTTCCTTCTCTTTTGAGAGTGTTCTGATGTGGAAATAAATTCTACGGTCAGTTCTATTTATGTCCCACTTCTAAAGGAAGGGATGCGTTCTTTCTTTCCCAGGTTATAGCAAAGGTGGAGAACTGTGGACTCAGGGCTCAGAGACAAACTCTGCTGTCAATACTTCTATAGACCGTCTGTGTGACCTTGGAGAAGTCATCTCATTTCTATTAAAAAATGACCAGCAGGTGGACTTTTGCCTTTCCTGGTCTGAGTCTATAAACAGATTAGTAAAGTAACAGGGCAGGGGTTTTCCTAGGAATAAAAGTACTAGATAATGACTCTGCAACCATTTTTAAATGCAAGGAGCACAAACAGGCTCTTTGAAACCCGATCTCCCACCTTCTGGGAACTGTGAATCCCTTAACCTATTAGCTCCTTACATCTCCTCCTGGCTTTAAAATTAAATCTTATTCCACAGTGTCATTCTACACTTTAATTATTTATTTACATCCTGCCTTGTTCCAGAAAGGATTTAACTGGGCTTATTCTATAGTTAGTCACAAGTAGATTCCTTAATTTAAAAAGAGAAACCTAGGAGAGACGGATGTGTTGGGCCGGCCCAGAAGCACACATTATCTCAAACTGTATCAGCCCCAAGCGGATCCAAGGGGCTGGCTTTCCCCACCCACCGCGGAGAGGCGCTAGTTAGCACAAGGCAGCACGCCCTGGCCGCGCCGATCTCCACCTCCTCAGCTGCCGGCTCTCCTCCTTTTAACCACCAAGTGGAGAATTGGTCTAATGGAGTACTTCCTCCCTGAAAGTGGTGCCAAGAGTTCCCAGGGCAACCTTAGATTTTAGATTTTTATAGACCTTTACTTGAAAGGTCTTTCATTCTTTGTGGCTTCGGTCTTCTCATTTGTGAGATGAGAGCCACGTCCACCTTTACAACACACAAAGGAATGATCACGTCTGTGGAGGCACCTTGGAAAAGATGCACAAAAAGGTCTGACCTCTGAGCTGGTTGTGTGAAGCCAGATACCGTCATGGCTCGGCCTGCTCTCCCTCCCGCCCCTCCCCCCCAGACTAGGTCAGACCATCAAAAGCGTTGGAAGGATTGCCTCAGATCAGCTGGAATCTGGTGGGCAGACAGTGGGAACGGCTCATGGCTCGTCCGGCCATGCCACCCCTCGGCTAGGAGTGTGTTTATCAAAGCAGCCGGAGAGGAGGGAGGAACCGGCGTTGCGGAGACCGAGTTATCTTGAAAGCCTGGAGCTGGAAACCTGCCCGGCCTCCGCAGGTGGACGTCAAGAGTGGGAAACTGGGGCCTAGCTAAGGAGGTGGGAAGTCGGGTTCTAGGGTGTGTGCTTTGGGGTAGAAAACCATCGGAAGTGGGCGGGGGGCGGGGTTGCTTTAAATATCAGCAGGTTAGGGAGGGGACTGGGAGACAAATGGGGAGATAGGGGCGAATAAGGTGTTGCCGCGGGGGAAAGGCATTTCACGGGGTGAAAGGGTCTGGGGAGGGAGCCCGGGGAACATAGGGTGGCTGAAGTTCTCTGCGGGTTAAAGAATGGAGGCTGAGATCTCTACAGAGAAATAGGTGCCCAGCAGAAGCTCCAGAGACAAAAAGAGGGGGATGATGAGTTCTCCACGGGGGAAACTGGAGTAACCCCGGGGAAGGGGTTGGGTTGGCCACGGGGAGTCAGGGGTAGTCTCTACAAGGAGGCTGGGGCTGGAGGGGAGGGAAGGAGGGGCGTCAGGGCTGGAAGGGAGACCGGTGGTTTCACGGGGGAGGTCGGGGTTGGCCGGGGAGAGGGAGATCTCCACACAGGCCCAGCCTCACCGTCCTCCAGGGCCTCACTGCACTCGAAGCTGATCTCGAACCGGAAGGGGCTGTGGAAAGGGCTCGGATTCTCCAGCACCGCCACGTTCAGCACGGAAACCTTGGCCATCGCCTTGCCGGGCCGCGGCAGAGGCCACAGCTGGGGCCGAGCCCGCGCCGGAGTCCTCTGTGGTCAGCCGGGTAGCGTTACCAACACCCGCTCCCGCCTCTTCTGTCCGCCGACTGAAGTGCGTATTTGGTCCGCGCGCCTCCTTCAAATAGCCGGCCCCACCCTCCGGCCAATCAGCGTCAACGCTTTCCGGCGGCGCGAGCACACCCTCAGCCAACCCTGGAGCGCGGGTCGGCGCGCGCCGAGACTGCTCTGACCAATCCGTGGAGCTCCCTCTCCGGGACGCGCGAGGGAGGCGGAACCATTTCTTGGCTTCTTTGGGTGTCCACCGAGAACCAATCCCCAGCGTCTCCGACTCGGATGTCTCGGGAGGGAGTGGGCGGAGTCAGAGCGCGGGGCTCCTCTCGGCCAATCCCGAAGGTTCCCGCACCGGCGTGGCCCGCGCTTCGCCCAGTCCTTCCGGGAGACGCATCCCGGCGGAGGGCAGCGCCGCCAACTGCCTAGCGGTGGCGCGCGGCGCTCGCTTAAGAGGGCGGGGAGGGCGGTGCCGGCGCCCACGGTGATTGGCAGGCAGGAGAGTGGCAGGGACGCGGCAGATTCTTTGAGAGGTGATTGGCTGGGTTGGTCGCGGGGGCGGGCGCAAAGGAATACTTAGCCGGGGATTCGTGGCAGGGGAGCGGAAGTCGGTGCTGGCGTGGTTGAGGCGTGTGTGAAGGGAGAGGAGGAGCGTTTGTCGCCTTGGCGTCTGTCAGCAGGTGAGCGTTGCCGGGACTTTCTTTAAGGGGCTCCCGGCCCCTCAGACCCAGCGGCGGGGGAGTCCGTTGTGAACTTTGTGAACGTTGGTCACCCCCCTACACCCTCTCGAGGGGAGACGGCGCGGTGGTCGCGCGGCGCGCTTGGGCTGGGGTCCCGGGAGTGGGGCCTCTGCGACTCAGCGGGTTCGAGTCCCGCTCTCGCCTCCTTGAGGGCGGCCGGGAGGTTGACAGGTGGACGCCGAGCGCTGTCAGGGGGAGTTGGAGTCCGGTCTCTGCGACTCAGCCCCCGACGTCCCCCCTCACCTTCCTCCCCCCGCTCATTGACCGGGGCCGTGAAACCTCGCTGACGCGACTCGTGACTGCACAATACAACTAGAAACTTCTCTCGGGCCCCACGCCAGGGTCGGACCGCCGTCGCGCCCTGCCGGCCAGACACCGCTTCCACCCGCGACCAGTGGAAAAATGACACGAGCCGCACTTCTCGTTTGACATTTTTTCTAGTACGGACGTTTAAAAAAAAAAAAAAAAGTAAAAAAAAAAAAAAGGCAGGTGAAATGAAGTTTCATGTTATCTTTAATCCAGTAGAGCCGAAATAGATTTCGACAAGTGATGGGTCTAGAAAAGTGCAAAAGGGATACCTTACGTGCTTTTGCGAGGTGCTGGGGCTTCGAGGCCCCGGGTGTTTTAGGGTTACGGCTAAGTAGTTGGTCTGGCTTTGGGGTTCGTGAAATTGACACTTGAGGATGGAGATGCACGTGCCCTCGCGGTTCGCAACAAGCTTACGGGTTTTCCCTGCGCCCCGTTACACAGCGGTTTTTAAGTGTCAGTGTTAATTAGTTAGAATTAAGTGATGTGGAAAGTTCCGTTTTTACCGCCGCACGAACCATCAACAGGTGTGGCTCCTATATCCCTGGACCTGTGGGTTTGAAACAAATTGGGTCACTCTTTAAAAAAATTTTTTTTAAATATTTATCTTTTTGAGAGTGAGTGTGGGGGCGGGGCAGAGAGAGACGGAGACACAGAATCCGAAGCAGGCTCCAGGCTCCGAGCTGTCAGCACAGAGCCGGACGTGGGGCTCGAACCCACGAACTGTGAGATCATGATCTGAGCCGCAGTCGGACGCTTTACCGACTGAGCCACCTAGGCGCCCCCGGATCCGTCACTCTTAAAATATGAGCGGTTTTCTGTTTTCCGGGTGAGACTGTGGTCTTCCAGGCTCTACAGCCCATCACTGTTCCCCACCCCCAGGCCCCAACTTCAGTTCAGCCAAACTCTCTTTTTGTTCCTTGTGCGTCTGGCACAGCATTTCCAGCGGAACTGCTACCCACAGCCTCTTCTGCCTCCCCTTGGCGTGGCTGGTGCTTTGTCTTTCAGGTCTGCCTGTTCACATGTGTTTTTCCCAGAGAAGTGGATCCCAGGGGTTCCCTGGCCAGTGTTCAAACTCCGAGTGTAGACCTCAACACGAGTTCAGGCTACTGGCCTTTCTTATCCAGCCACTGCTGTGATTGGTGTTGGTACAGTCAGCTGCAAGGCCTCACGATGCTGGGCTCTGTTTTTCTTCTCTTTACATTTGTATCTTACATTAGGTTAAAAAAATTTTGTGTGTGTGATTAAAATCATTGAAAGTTTTTTCCCCCCCTTTGAGATGATTTGGCTGCAAAAGAATCCACTTTTATGATCGGCTACTATTGTCGAATTTTTGTGACTGCGAAAATCTAATTTTCCAATTATTTCCAAATGTAATTCAGTTGTTTATGTGAATATCACATTTAATGATGGATGCAGTTGCCATGATGTTGTTTTCCAGACTTAATTAAATACTTATTCACTCCCAACTTTGTAGTGTTCTCTTTGCTTTGTGGAACTTCCCCGCACCCCCCAACCTTTTCACACCTCCTGAAAAGCTCATCAGCCACCAGCTACGTCTGTGGTGCTAATGAAGAAAATGGCTCCGTCTGTAATGAGTTCTCCATACAGCTGGCGGCATAGTCTCCAGTGTAAACCAGATCATGTCATTACCCCGCTCAGAACCTTCGAAGGCTCATGAGATTGGGAGTGAAACCGAAGATCTTTACTGTGGCTTAGGGCCTGCACGGTGACCTCAGCTGACCTCTTGGGCTTCAGCTACTGCCTTCCTCTTGTCACCACTCTCCAGCCTTGCTGGCTTTGTTTACCATCTTTCCACACACCAAGCTTATTCCTGCTGTAGGCCTTTGCACTTGCTCTGCCCTCGGCCTGGAATGTGCTGTTTTCAGATAATTGCGTGGCTGTCTCATTCCCGTCATTTATGGTTCGACTACAGTGCTCCCCTCAAAGAGGCTTTCCCAGGCCACCCTAGTTAAGGCAGCTCCTTTTTTTTTTTTTTTTAATGTTTATTTTGACAGAGAATCCCAAGCAGGCTCTAAAGCTGTTCGTGCAGGGCCTGATGTGGAGCTCAAACCTATGACCCGGGAGATCATGATCTGAGTCGGAGGAGGCTTAACCTACTGAGCCACCCAGGCACCATAAAGCAGCTTTCCCTTAATCACATCACCCTGTCTTATTATCTTCATAGCGTTCAGAACTTAAATTGATTTTAGACTGTGCTTTTCTTGCATCATCCCTCAGTAGATTGACAGCTAGTTAAGGGCAGAGACCTCACTTGCCTCACATTGACCTCTGAGTGTATTCAAAAGAATAAATTCACGTAAAGGGCTTAACCTAGTACCTGGGATCTGAAAAGCACTCTGTAACATGAACTCTTAGTAGTATGTGGTAATAAGGAGAGAAGTCTTCGTTCTTTTAAAAAAAACTTTTTTTTAATGTTTTATTTATTTTTGTGAGACAGAGAGAGAAGGGGACACAGAATCTGAAGTAGGCTCCAGGCTCTGAGCTGGCTGTCAGCACAGAGCCTGACGCGGGGCTCAAACCCACGAATGGTGAGATCATGACCTGAACTGAAGCTGGACACTCAAACTGACTGAGCCACCCAGGCACCCCGAGAAGTCTTCATTCTTACATAATATTTCAGCTGCACACACATTTGGAAAGGTAGAAGAAACGCTATAACAAAATACATTTTTACCAGTTACCTACCTTATGGAGCCACCAAACATTAGAGATGCAATCAAAAGGCCTTGTATGTACCCCTGCCTCAAACCAAGTCCTTTCCCCTTGTAACCACAACCCTAGATTTCATGTATATTTTTCTATGCACGTTTGCACAACTTAACATACATGTGTCTTTAGACGATGTATTATATGTCATGTTCTACAGTTTTATATAAATGAAATCTTTGCAAAAAAAGAGTTGCCGTAGTAGGCATGAGACTGCTGTCCTTAGAACGGTCTGTTTGCAAGGTTGGCCCTTGACTGGTCTCTAGGGACTTGGATTTCAGAAGGGTTCCTCCATCCCCTAAAGAGCAGCTCATGGTGCCTAGACTGTACAGTGTGCTTTATGTTGAATATCCCCTTTCCTTCTGGAGTCTGGTGTGTTGGTACCTGACTAGCCCCCTGTAAATACCCTGGGCATTGAGTCCCTAATGAGCTTCCGTGGTGGGCATTATTTCACGTGTGTTGTCACACCTCTCCTGAAGGAACTAGGTGCATCCCACGTGACCCACTGGGAGAGGATTTCTGGAATCGTGCGCCTGGTTTCCTTTAGACTTTGCACCGCGTGTGCGTATTTTCCCTTGGCTAATTTTGCTTTGTACCTTTTCACTGTAAGAAATCACAGCTGTGTATCGGCTCTATGCTGAACTCTGTGAGTCCTCCTAGTGAATCATTGAAACTGGGGTGATCTTGGGGACCCCTGACACAGTGGCATACTGGACATATACGTATAAGGTGAGGCAAGCATGGCACCCATGGCCCCAAATTTAAGGAGACGTTCACTCTCGTGTTCACACAAGTGTCCAACCTGTACAACCCTGAGGATGAGTGCCTCCTAGAATTTTCACTCTGGACACCTCGCTTGCTCCAGTCCCAGCCATTACCTCGGAAACTTGCTTTTTCTGTCCAACATACTCCTTTTGCAATGCATCTGTGTTTACATCTATGGAACATTGCTGCAAAAGCAGTATGTTGGACAAAAATATGTATATTTTCACTGCCATAGCTATACTGTCTGATGTGGTAGCCATTTTCTACACGTGGCTATTTAGATTTCAATTAATCAGAATTAAATAGAAAGGTCAATTCCCTCTTCACTCTTAGCCACATTTTATGTGTCTAATAGGCAGCCTGTGGCTGATGGCTACCACATTTGGACAGCGTGGGTAGAGAATACTTGCATGGTCACAGAAAGTTTTGTTGCGCTATGTTTACTTCCCTGTTTACCTCTTGCTTAGTATTTAGGTGGTTCCTTATTTTCTACTCCTGCAAACGGTGCTTCAGGGGCCATTGCCGTACACGTCTCCTTGTGCGCACATGCAGCAGTTTCCCTAGGATACACACCTAGGAGCTGAGTTGCTGGGTTACAGGAATATCCACCTTTACTAGATATTGCCAGTTTGCTCTTCAAAATGACCATTCCAGTTCTTTCTCCTACCAGTAGTGTTGCTATTGCTCAGTGTCCTTATCAATGCTTGGTACTGTCAGGTTTTTGCGTTGTTTTTCTGATGGGTGAAAATTAGTGGTTTCAGTTAGCATTTCCCTGATTACTAGTGAGATGGAGCTATTTATGTCTGTTTATGGACCCTTCGTCTTCTGTAAGTTGCCGCTTCATATCTTCATCCGTTTTCCTGCTGCATTGATTTCATCTTCTTGAGTACAGATGTTCTTCTCACGTCTGAAACTTGCCTTTCCATTTGCATAGTGTCTTTTGAAGTTCAGAATTTATTATTAGTATGTTAATGTCATCAGAATGATCAGTCTACTTAAAGCTGGTGTTTTTCGTGCCCTTCTTAAGAAATCTTAACCTATATCTACTGTTGTTTTTTTTTTCTTCTTGGAAGTTTTCCTTTTCATATTTAGCTTTTAAAAAATCTACCTGGGATGTATTTTTGTTTCTGACGTGAGGT